GTGGGACATGGCATGCAGAGCGGAATCGCTGAAGTATCTATCGCGTCAAGTACAACAAAAACTGTGTGGTGGCCTAGGTGGCCTGCGTGGTGGCAGAAAATATGGCAGAAAGCCTAACCTATAATTCTCACAAACAAAACGAAACTCTAGAAAAAGCTTACCATCGCTTCCAGAAACCCCGCCAAGTAGCAAACGAGAATGCTCCGCACTCTAGTAAAAAAGCAGGCCTAATCTAAAGCACTAAGAGCCGCATGGTCCTCGAGGCACGCGCTGGCTTCCAGCAGATCAAAACCGTCGCATGCCGTGGCGGTGGCTCGTTCGTGGGCTGCCCAAGACAACCATGAAGACGAAATTCAACGGTTCAGAGCTGACCTATCAGTCCTACATAACTGTTCCTTCACAGGAGTGCGTTTATATACGGCACTCCTCCAATACCGTCGTCCCTTTTGGCCAACCACAAGCACCACTGAATTCCAGGCCTTTTCGATTGGCTAGTTCGAGCCACTTGGTTAGGAAAGCTGAGCTCGCACACTTTCACCTGTTCGAACTTGCAGAGGGGGGTGGTGTCGTGGTTAAAAGAAGAAGGCGCCTAATTTCTGCTGTCCGGTAGGAGGCACGTCGCAGCACTTGCAGGGGGGCCAGTACACTCACTCTTGCAGTGTCTGGAGGGAAGAAGGTGAAGAGGTGAAGCGACTTTCCTTTGTATAGTGACTCCCGTTGTCAATCACGTAGTGATGACTCACTCACCACGCTCCCCACAGTGCTGCAGAAATTAAGTAATCGAAGTGGACGATTGGGACAGTTGGTGATAGATGATCCAAGTGTACTACGCGGAAGAAAAACACGGACAAGCGCAGGCTATCTACTGAATGTTTATTCATCCCGCCTTGCGTATATATATATATATATATATATATATATATATATATATATATATATATATATATATATATATATATATATATATATATATATATATATATATATATATATATATATATATATATATATGACAACCAGGGGAAAAAAAAGAGAAGAAAGAAAGGACAGTAGCTTTTCAAGAAACATCAAACTTCATATACGTGAAGCACGAGGCCGAATGTCAGATGAATTACACGCATGCGCCATTTGCCAGAAATTGAAGCTCCTTATTTAGGAGTACAACCGATGGTTTGATCACGTAGTTGTCTGCTTCTAGAGTCATTCTCTCTGCTTCAACAAACATGCGCGTATGATCATCTTTGCGCCTGTACAATACAACTGTATTTTTAAACAGCGCATGGCAACCACAGCTGCTAACATGCTGAGCTAAGAAGCCCTCGTTGCCATTGCGAACATTGCGTGCGTGTTAGCGCAGGCACTTGTTGGTGCTTCTTCTTCTAACCACTACCACCAGTTCCAGAAGGTAAGAGCATAAATGAAACCAAGCATTGCAATTAGCCACTCATTGGCATCTCTGCTCTTTTGATGAACTTTCCCGGCTGGTGGACATCATCACCGTCTCTTCAGTATCAGGGACTACCACGATAGTCGCCGTGGGCTGTCACGCTCAATCGAGCTACGTTCGTCTGTCCATGAGAACAGAGAAGGTAGCCCCCATTTTTAGAAACAGCATTTTCTGTAAGCACAGTGCATTTCTTGAAAGCCCCTCTGAGAAATCCAAGGGGAGGCTTCACCCTTTTTGTTAGAAGCAGATATGTGAGGGTCATTGTATTAGCCGCGCTGTCCAGCCAGGAAGGAAGATCAGTCATTGTTAAACTCTCTCATACTTGGGAAGTAACAACGCAAAAATATAGACAAGAGACAGAGGACCCCCAACTAGCCTAACTTTCGCTATTATTGAAACTCTCTCATCTTAACGAGTTTCCAGCTGCACGTGGCATGCTTCTCAAAAAGCTGAGTACACTCTTCTATGCTTCTTTCGGTGCGGCCAAACTCGAGGTAGTTACAGCAGGCTCACTTAGGGCCGTTCCAAGCGCTTCCCGCACAGCCGCAACGCACGTGCCGGGATCTTTGCCGCACGCAAGCGGGGGACAAATTGTCGACGCTGCGGAGGGTGAAAGAGCGTCACCAATTGGCTTATTTGTCCCCCGCTTGCGCCTGGTAGGGGTCCCGGCACGTGCGTTGCGGCTGTGCGGGAAGCGCGTTGAACAGCCCTTACTCTCGGAAGTTGGCTTTACGCGTCATGTAATATACGCAGTTTGCATTGACGTTACCATGGCCGCCATCTTAGAGCCACCAGCGCCGAGAACCTGTCCACGACGTGACGTTGACGCAATTTATATTAAATTTATCAACGCTCGATAACCACAGGGACAGGAATAAAAATAGCGTGCAGCGTGTCATTCTCAATGCCTTCAGGTCCCAGAAGGTGGCATAACTACAATTTGGCAAAGCGATGGGTCATGCAAAAAACTTTGAAATCAATGTAGACAGGTTCATTATTTTCTGGGCGAACACTGGTTGTAAAAAAAAAAAGTGCGATACGGCGTCGGACTAACCTCGCACTTGTGGTGCTATACTTGCACCATATTCCCTGCCCAAGCCCTGCTTGTTTGGATAGGTATTTGTGTCTTGTGAGTGTCTTACGATGGGAAGCTCTGTATATTGAAAAGTTACCAGGACGCTAAAAAGACCAAAAGACCAAGTCATGTCTCTGCAGTGCTCCATCATCAACAAACAGAGATATGGCCCCATTCTACTCTGCGATGGCCCTGACCACCAGCGCTGGCTGGTGGAGAGTCGCGAAGCGACAGCTTTAATCAGTGGCCTGTCAGACCAGCTGTTCTTCCTCATGCTCTAAGATTCCTAGTAAATAATTACGTTTTCCGTCGGCCAGTAAATGTTCGCTTTTGGATTTCTCTTATCCATCCTACTTTATCGCATTGTAAATGATTATGTTTTTCATCAGCCAGTCAATGTTTGCTTTTGGATTTGTCTTATCCATCCTACCCTATCACACGCAAATTATGACGACAAAAACAACCTATCATCTTTAACAGCACTATCCAGGAACTAAACTCCAGAAGCAAACTTATGATGCCACACACAATGACAATCACACATACCCACTCTATAGAGCGGGTATGTGCCACCGGTTGCAACGTACATACATACATTCACACACACGCACACACACAAACACACACACACATACGTACGTACGCACGTACGTACGTACATACGTACGTACGAAAGAGCGACAGACCCACGCCATAAGGAGCTTCACCCCTAAAATTACCGTCCAAGCACTCCATACCCATGGTTAACCAGCGAAAGCCAAACAGCCGATGAAGAAACTCCCACCGAAAGCAAATGTTCACCCAGCGCGAACGCACTCCCGCAACTTTGATGCGCGCTGTTGCAAGCGTTTGACATTGACAGCTAACTAGGTAGTACGGTTTGCAGGATGCGTTCAAGGAGATGCGACCCACCACCGGCGCATGCATTCCCGTCGGCGATTTAGAGTGGCTTGGAAGGCTACTGGATCATATATGCACGCAGTTGCTGCCAACACTCGTCTTCTCGGGCCTGTTTTTGTGCCCGGGCTGCAGCATCGGCCCGGCAAATACGAGTTCCCTGATCTTTCCGCGGTCGGCTCTCTTGAAAAGTTGTTCGCTATACGGGAGTTCTTATGATCTGTGGCTTACCCATGTGGAAGCTCTCAGCAGAAACTGACACGCATGTGCTCGGAGCCATGGCTGCGACCGGATGGATGACGCCACTCGCCGCCAATGGCGCACATGCTCGAGTACCACGCTGAGGACGGCGTAACTGATAGCAAAGCCAATAGAGACCACTCGCGACACCGATGCCGAATGGTTTTTCGTTCCTCCTAACCATGCATATACGGCTTTCGCTGTAGAATGTGCATACAAATTCTAACACAGTTACATCATCACTTCTCCGGACGATGTAAACAAAAGGCGGGCTCTAAAGAGTACGCATGGGATGCTTACAAAGGGAAAACAATGTTGCGAAGGGGAGAAGCCAGCGCCATTCATGTTAGCTTGTCTGAGTAATGTGTCTCTGTGGCATGCTGTTTGTCATGCATGTTTCACCTTATCGTGGTACGCTAAAGCCTCAAGGACTTTCTCCCTCCTTCACCGTTTCCAAGAGAGGCTGAGTCAGCTATAGCCACGTGTCGGATGACTAATAACACCACTGAGTTTGATGTGCGCCTCGCACAATGCACCGACCATTTCGCTGTCAAGTTCTGAGCCTACAGCGTTGTAGACAACACCACTACAGCTGTCTCTGGACGAGATGGGCATTGCCAGAAAAGGTATTGTACCGAGAGCCAATACTTCTCTTCTTTTCCTATTTCTTAACTCTCGCCAGCAAGAACCTGCATTCTTTCCCCAAATTACAATGATGTAACCGCCCCTTCCATCCCCATTTTTTTACGTTCTTGGGCGATAGAGGAACATGCTCGCGAGCTCCGCCGCAATCGCTTTCCCTTCAGTGCCAAGGTAGCTTTTGTTTGCCCTATCCTCGTATCTTGCCCTATTACTCCGTTCTTGTCCCCCCCCCCTCTCTCTTTCTCATGGGTTGGAGATATAAAAGATTATCCTGGTATCAGCTCTCTTCCTCCATCTTTCGTCCATCTCTATCAAGTGCTCTGCCCAATCACCGCGAGAGGGAACGCTACTGAAAAATATCGCACGAGTGCAAAACACGGCACTTCCTTCGAGATGCAGCTGGACATGCCCGCCACCGACCATCTCGACTACGAAATCACGGCCATCACCGACGAGTTCCTTGATGACGAGTTCGAGGATTTCTCTGACGACGAGTTTGAGGTGCTACACACCCCCGAGGATAGCAGCGACGACGCGACGGACGACGAGCTCGTCGAAGACAATCCAAAGTTGCCGCCGACCACAGCCATCAGCGCGGAGATCGAAAAGTTGCCCGAGCTTTTGCCGTATGACTGGGACCCGCTTCTCCTCGAATACTAAAAGGCATCGTCGCCGTGCGAGTTGCGCGTCCAGTACAACATGATGGCCTTCTTCGAGAATCCATTACCGGGTGTGCACATCTATCCAATGGACATTAGCCGGTTCCAAGTGCGGATGGAGGCGCCCTCGGGTACTCCGTACCAGGGCGGAATCTTCGAGTTCCTGCTGCAGTGCCCACGTGATCACCCGATGCGGCCGCCGCGCGTTCGCCTCACGAATCCCGACGATGGAGCCATCAATCCGAACCTGCGCAGAAGTGGGAAAGTGTGCCTCGACATTCTGGGCACCACGAACACGTCGACGTGGAGCCCCACGCAAAGCATCTCGAGCGTGCTCCTCGCGACCCAGTCGCTGCTGACGGAGGCACCATTATTTTCTTGTCTCTGGCAGGCGGGAAAAAATGCCAAGGTGAAAATCGTTATTCTGAACGTGCGCTGAACTATTCTTAAAGTTATCGTCCCACAGACTATGCCTTGTTCACGCACATTGACAAAGTTTGAATAAAGAGCTTTACAACGAACGTGTGCGCTTATTTCGTGTGCCACGGCTGTGAGGAGGACTACGTCAGGTTTTCTTTTGTCGCAAGCCTATCCAGGATCTTCGATATTATAGTTCAAATAGCAGGCAAGCTCTCGGGGTCGTTTTGTACTTGTTTCGTACCGGGCGTTGTCAGCTTTTTTATTCTCAAATTTCTACAGCCCGGTTGGGGGCACGCCGTCGCACCTGTTTCCCTATGGAGGGAGAGGGAGCGCCGCTTCGCGTAACCGCACACTCTCTAGGGAGTTTTAGTGCTGGGTACGCATTCTCTTGGGGCGTTGCGGGCTTGGGAGCGCGCGGCGTTGTGTGACCAACCCACACCCAACCGGAATGCCTTTTAGTTGGCGCCACGGTGGCACGAAGTTCACACGCGCTCGCAGAGCCATAGCCCATAGCGTCTTGTCGCGTAAGTAACATTAAGTCTTTTTATGATTTAAAATGTTAATTTATATATACATATTGATCAGTACACTTTTTTTATTGTGTGCAGTAATCTGGTATACGCAAAAAAGTGAACAATACAAGATTACTGTAACGAAAGTGTCGACATCTTGTGACACTTCGTGCAACCGCAGTCATGAACATGTTAGCTTACGCGTAATGTTTTTGAGGTGAAAATAAATAAAAAGGTTACTCATTTGTAATATTATCGCTGCGCAGTTTTTTCACCAGATGTACAATGCACAATGTTTCTACAATAACAAAGTTGTGGTTGTCTGTTTCACTATGACTGCGCTAGATGGCGCCACCTATTCAGCTGGTCGGGGGCTGGCATATGCATTTTAGTTTCTATGTTCCAGGCCATTCTAGCTTTGAAAATCTGGCTGAAACCGTGTAATCGCTATAAGTGCTCGCACTTTGACTTATTTTAACTCGACGGCTAGAGTATCTGCAGTGCGGATGCCGTGAGTTCTTGCGAAGGTGGACCGCGTGGACGCATGGCCCCATCGCCCCAGCGATCATGCGACGCATCTGTTTGGGGTTTCGCGCATGCGCAATACCGCCGCCCCAACGTCCTGCTTACGCAAGCCGCTTGGGTACCCAGCAAAAAGAGGGCGCGATACCTCGTCAAACATCCACGCGCTGACGGGCTGCAACGCGCACGTGGGAAAGGCTTGACCACACGAAGCCGTTGCAGTGCGTCAGCGCATGGCTTTTTCACGCGACGCCGCGCCCTCTGCCTGTGGAGAGAGGGCGCGGCGTCGTGCACTCTCTCTCCGTAAAAAGAAATCTCGGTGCTCCGTCAAGAAATCCACGCGCTGACGCGCTGCAGCAGCTACGTGTGGTCAGGCCTTAAGCGTTTCACCAGGTGCGCGAAAAGCGCTAGGAAGAGCATGGCTGTCGAGAACGAGCAATATAGGATGCAATTCTTAGGGTGAAAAAAGAAAATTAATTTCATTCAGGTATTAAAGAACTTCTGGAGGTTAATAGATTAAATAAATGTTGTTTATTTTCCAACTTTGCATTTTGTAGCTATAGGATTTCTTCACTAGTTTAGCTAACCGAAAAATATTTAAACGAACTTTCACATCATGTGGGCAATGACGTAACAGTCAGTTGCTGGCCCATGCAGCAATGATATAATCTCTGGGTTACCTACAAATGCAGATACAATGAATACGGGCTCTTACAGTCCCTTTTTTTGCACTTAGTGACACAAATAGGCGTACACCTATGACATCACTGGAGTAAACGCTGCAGATTGGTCAGCCGATGAGAAACAAGAGTCTCGAAAAGTTCACAGCCAGGAGGTCAACAACAACCAGTCAGATTAAGAGGTGTTCACAAAATATGTGAACTATGTCCAAAGCATGTGAAAAAACTCTCCTTTCAAGGCAAACAATTGAGTAGAGTTCAGAAACATGGAGGGACTCCCATAACCAGATGGTGCAGTTAAACCTGGATATAACCGACTCATTCTCTCCAAATTTGTTATAAAGAAAATTTCCTTATATGCAGGTACTGTACAAAAAATCAACACACAAATTAAACAATAGGAGAAGTAAAGCCAGAGCTCACCAAAAACACTTAATTAGCGGTAATAAAAGTGCCAAATTTTTTGATAGCAATTATACACACACAATTGATGGGTTTTTTCTATCGCCGCTATGTTCCGTAACAAGTACAAATTGATAACATTCCAACGTAACACGCATTTCAACGGGCATAGTAACTTTTACGAGCAGGTAAGAGCACGCGAGCACTGTTGAAGCAAAGATCAAATGAGCCCATCTCTGTCGCCTGGAGGGCGCGTACCATTATATTCTCCTTGCATGTTATAATGCCGTCAAATGCTCAAACAGAAAGAAAACTACCCGTCTTGAACGAGCATGAAAACAACGCGAGGAGGCGAGGAGGGCGGCGGGGGGGGGGGGGGGGGTCACTCAGATAGCAACAGTTAACTTGGATTTTAAGGGCGCGGTTGCTATTCCTGGCGCGAGACCTATATAAGCAAGCATCAGTCCACTTCCAACGCGAAGAGACTGTGTGAAAAGAGCCCTCCTCCCTAAAGCGGCCGTACCTGCTTACACCAGCGTTTTGCAAGATTTCCGCGATGTCGGATCCAGAACAGTTGGCTGCCTGCCTTACTGCGTATTACATTACAATTTGTTGCTATCGCATTGATTACATTGCATTCAACGCGCCATCCTGTTGCCAGAGATAACTAGCTAATCGCGAAGGCTACGATCCCGCGAACTCGAGGCGCGGAGCAAGACGGCAAAGCAGGTGACCAGTCGACCTAGAAGACTCCATGATCGCCTAATCAGACTTCTCCTCGATAGTTGTGCGAATTTAAAAAAAAAGGAAAAAAAGCAAAGCTGAACGCCATCGAGAGCCACTCCATGTAAGCGCAGTAAAACAATGCACGCGCGCACGGAGTCCAACAGGGAGAGCGAACGACACGGATACCGCGTGAAACGTATTCAATAAAGCCCTTTCCATATGCAGTGCGCCCCCACTTATGCAACGCCAACTAAAAGCGTAACAACGCAAAGTGCCATCACCTTTGTCACTCAAAGCGCAGTTCAGACTTGTGCGACAATCGAAAAGTGGCACTGCAAACGCAAAATTAGTCTGCTTCTTTTTTGTTTGGAAGGAGGGCACGTCCGCGCATGCGCCTGCGGCGGATGGATGGATGGATGCTATGAGCGTCCCCTTTATAACGGGGTGGTGGCAAGTATGCCACCAGGCTCGACAAAAAAAAAAAAAAAAAAACCTTTTTTCTTTTTTTTTATGTTGGCCTAATGCCTCTACTTCGATAAATTCTATCTTAATGGAAAAAAGGTAAATTTTCAGCTTAAGTTCTCTGCCATTTACGGCACACTGTCCATATTTTATTTTTCCAATATTTATTTTTGTCCTTTCTCTCTAATTTTCTGCCACCAATACTCTAACCGTCTCTTACTTATTTCAATCGCGGGTGTGTTCAGCTTTCCATTGTTGTCCCTAAAACCCAAGGCTTCCTGTAGGCTCGTGCCCAAACGTACACCTGGGTGGATATCTCCACATTCAATCAGAACATGCTCCGCCGTTTCCTTATCTTTCCCGCAGCATGTGCATTGTTCTTCTTCTTTACTGAATCTTGCTTTATAACTACGCGTTCTAAGGCAACCCGATCTCGCTTCAAACAGTAAAGCGCTTCCCCTTGAATTATCGTAAAATGCCTCCCCTCCTTATTTCATTTTTGCCCTTTCGGTAGTTACTCAAAGCCGGTTTTTTCTCCATAGCTGCCATCCAGTAAATCCTCTCCGCCTCCCTGACTTTTCCCTTAACGCTCTTTGTTGACATATGGCTCACAATACCAGCCGTATATTTACTAGTGAGTCTTCTAGTTCTTTTTCTCCACTGCGTGTCCACGCTCTTCCTATACAAATAACGGAACACCTTCTCTGCCCATCTACTCTCCTTCATATTTCTTAGCCTTTCTTCGAACCTTATTTGCTCTGCGCTTCCCTCGCCTCAAACCTGCCCACCCCATATCGCCCTTTACAGCCTCGTTTGTCGTCTTCCCGTGAGCACCCAACGCGAGGCGTCCCACAGTCCTTTGATTTACATCCATTCCCGATTGCACCTCTGCCCTCATGCACACCACTGAGTTCCCAAAAGTAAGCCCTGGAACCATTACACCCTTCCACAGACCTCGAAGCACCTCATACCTATTGTATCCCCACAACGCTCTGTGCTTCATTATTGCCGCATTCCTCTTTCCTTTTGCTGCCGAGGCTTTTTCCTGTACCTCCATGTATCTATCACTCTCATTTACCCATACTCCAAGGTACTTGTATTCACTTACCCTCGGTATTTCTTGGCCTTGTATGGACACCGTCTGATCACAGGGATCATTGAATACCATTAAACCAGACTTCGTTACACTGAATCCTAGTCCAAGAGCTTCACCTTCCCTTCCGCATATATTCGCCAGCTGCTGTATATCATCTCGACTGTCCGCAAATAAGACGATATCGTCCGCATAAAATAAACCTGGAAGCTTCTGCTCAATCATCATGCCGCCCTGTTTGTGTTACAGATTAAAACCAATGTTGCTACCTTCTAGCGCTTTTTCCATACTGACCATGTACAGCATGAATAACAGTGGGGACAAAGGACATCCCTGTCTCAGACCCCTGCTAACCTCAACGTTCTCTTTGCTACGCATTCCTTCCCACTCTATGCAAACTGTATTTTCTCGGTATATCTCCCTCAAGAGCTGTATACAGTCGTCGCCCATGCCCATTCCTTTCAATATATCCCACAAAATTTCCTGATTAACGTTGTCGTATGCCCCAGTGATGTCTAGAAAAGCCACGTACAAGGACCTATTCTCTATTTTAGATATTTCTATACACTGAGTGAGAACAAACAGGTTATCGTCTAACCGCCTGTCGACTCGAAATCCGTTC